GCCTAAATGTGAAAATCATAATTTGACAAAGTGCGACAAGTTTTTGTACAATAGACATATAAGATGTTAATTTCAATTAATTCTGGCATGACAACCCATTGGAATGGTTCTTTTGACGTTCAGGGACTACCATGACCTGCTATTTGAAGATGACTGCTGTCCGCCATCTGTCAAAATGTCAATCTGCAATATTATCTCTTGCGCCAAAGGCTCTTGGTATGATGAACCATCCCATTTAAATCCACCACTACCTAACTTATTTGAGTGGTTATTTTGAGTTGTATCTTTATACCTATTTCTTTCTGTTATAACTTCTAACAATTTGTTTTAAATTAATTTGTTTTACTGGCTTAAGTAAATTTGTTCTCCATTGCATGGTTTATTATTTACACATGTTTTGCGTTACATATAGTTGCCATGGGCGTCGCCAGGATTTTTCTTGAGTGGGGCAAAGCACATTTCCCCCCAAATCCTTATGATTTCCTGCATTTTCCCGATTGATCATTTTTTCGAGGGTGGGCAGGGTATTTTCCCCCGGCGACCCCAACCCTTTAAATAAACAACAATATGATTTCGCCCCTCTCCCCCCCTTTTTTTTCTCCTGTTTTTTGGCTTGCCCTCCCCCCCCCCCTCCACCCACCTCGCGACGCCCATGATAGTTGCCATTTGATTATTGTGATTATTTATTTCGCGTGCTATTGTAATGAATCTGTTGCTTATCATTCATCTGGTAAACAATTCCTAAATGTTCACTTCCTGGTGTTGGATTTTTTTTTATTTAATCAGCTGATTCATCTGTTTATATACATTTTTGTTTCGATATCGTTTTAACTTCAATATCACGAACGGTTAAGGAGAAAACCCGCGGAGAAAGTGGTCGGGTTGTGCCCGATCACTCAACAAGATCAAACATGTATATAGCTATGTAGGCAATTATACAGGCATCTTTCGAAGCCGGGGGCTTATATGAAGATGCCTTGACAAAACAAAACCGAAATGTCAACTCAACAATTACAGAAACAGACAATCGGACAAACACATATAGAGACCATGGGATAAAATGTGAGGGTTAGAGAAAATAGAAAATGCCATAAATAAATAATCATGTAGCTAGTCATAAATTAAAGCTAAGCATCAATATTGTAAAATAAGTAAAAACGATATCGAAACAAAAATATAAATATACGGATGAATAAGCCGATTCAATAATAAAAAAAATCCAACACAAGGAAGTGAACATTTACGAATTTGTAACCAGATGAATGATAAGCAACAGATTAATTACAATCGCACGCGAAATAAACAATCAAAATAATCAAATGGCAACTATCATGGGCGTCGCGAGGGGGGGGGGGGGGTGCAAGCCAAAAAAAGGGAGAGTTCCTTACACTAACGATCGCACAAGGCATGATGGGAAACACCATGGCGCTGCAAGATCGTACCCACGGGGCACGAGGTTGGGATAGAGGATATCCATACAGCATTCACACAGTAGACTTTACATATTGACCAATTCGCCCCTGGTTTCACGAAGATGGCTGCGTATAATACGAACGTTCAGCGCGTATATACGCACACGTTGTATCAACAGTTGACGCGCACTTTAGTCACGTACACATATAATGATGTTCTAAAAGGGACACATTTCCGTAGTGATTATTATTTCCAAAACGCCGAAAAAGTGAACTGCGGCATTGAGAAAGTAAATCACGTCGTTAGAAAAATTGTAAACCTTGGTCAGTGGTGGTGGTCAAAATATAAGTCAAGTGAACCGCGATGTTACAAAAGAAATCATGCTGTCTATAAATTCGGCAACTTGTCCTTTGTAGATCACCAGCCGGTCTCACCGGTCTCACCAATATGGCGTCAAATTCATTCATTGTGCGGCTCCCTGTTCGCTATCCAGTCGTTATATAGAGATCAGTGGTTGACGTGCACCGTTCCTTGTGTGAGAGGACGCGCGTACACGTTATATGTACACGCAGTGGCCGCGCACCCCCAATTGTACTTCCTTTGCCGCTGAGGGGATGGGGGATATTTACCCCCCCCCCCTCCTATATATTTCGTAAAGCGTGCCGTTTTTTACGAGCGCTCTTTCTTAACGAGCGCCCGTTTTTTGGAATGTTGCGCAAAAGTCGGCAAATGTGCCGCCATGAAAAGCGGCACCTATTGTCCGATATTGCCCATGATCGGCCGGTCTGAACAGCGCCCCCATAAGAAGATGGTGTCCAATCGCCCCACCATTTGCCCACGAAAACCGGGATCTGAACGTCCATGGACAGCCGAGTTTTGTGATCTTTTATATTGAAATACATGTGGATATAACGTGGTAATAGAGTATGAAAATTACGTGATTTTTTTCACAGATAAAAGTCAATAAGATGTACTTTAACCCTATTTCTTTTATCAAAATGGAGCCACATAATTTTAAGAATTCGGTTAATTTCTTTTCAATCCACCCTGTATTGTGGCTTGGTGGCTTCCATCTCATGAATTGCTTGAGTTGTTGGAAAGCTGATGTGTGGAACCGGATTTGTCGAAAGAAAGTTGTCGATGGAAGTCATCGCACTCTTTTCCTCTTTAGTGAGTTTATCTGCTATTGCATTTGGACCTTCTCCGTCTGGAGTTGCTCAATAACAGTTTCAACTCCGTTCCAACATCCAGCCTCCCACTCAATTGTGACGTTTGCGGTCTCCATTTTTATGCTGACCCCAGGTGCCCACCTGGGGTCAACATACAAATGGAGACCGCAAATACGGTCACACTTTTGGCACATTTGCAACATTTATTTTTAACGTGAACGTAATGCTACGTTTGTAAATATTTTCATAAGGATAATGTAATATTAAAATATAAATAAATTAAATAAATTAAATATAAAAAAAAGACTGCACAGAACACGTGAGGGTTTCGTGGATCCAATAGTATAGTCGAGTGTTGTGTTCACAGTCTATTTACACAGCGCCCGCTGGAGTCGAAAAGATTGGGCTGCGCCATGTTGGAATTGTGTGAATAAAGTGTTTACTCTTGAATCTGAATTGCTCTTTCTCTCAGTACTGAATTTGTCACCCATTTATACACTTTGGAAATACTAGCATCAAGGCAGGACGAAAACTCTTCAGAACTACTAAAACGGTGCAAGAACAAAAATCAAATGTAAATTCAAGACATTTGAATTTCTTTATTGACCTCAATTGAGGACCGCGGCGATCAGAATCAAAACATTCTTTATATGTGAGACCTTCCATAAAGGTATGCATAATGGACGATAGAAAAGGAAATATAAGGAATTACAAAAATGCACGTGATGTTCTGATTTTACAGTTTTAAAACCCTTTCCCTGAACGGTTTCGTAAGACTAAAGTAGTTTATGATACAAAAGGCATCACAAAAATGAAATCAATGCAACTCATATTTTTAGCAACATACCCAAGCAAAACATAAATGAAGGTTTTGCCCCGTACAAATGTTCTGTATAACTATCATTACTGCATTCCTTCTTTTGGTTCCTTTGTACAAGTGGGCACTGCTCGTTTATTTTCTTCAGTGTTTATCCATGCAAAAAAAATCTCACCAAAAATAAATTGAACACTTCCGTTGCCACATTGCAATAAGTGGCATATCCAAAACGTGAACAAATAAACATCAACTCAATATTCCGCATATGACCGATTTGATCACGCCCCCTGTAAAATGTATCAGGCTATAATTCCTTTCTTTGAATGTGCGGCCAAAGAATATCAGATCGAGCCAACTGGGTTTAGAATTTAGGAGCTCAAATCATGAAGCCAACGCATCAGCCGATGCCATGATTTCGGGAAAGGCACAATATCAGTGTATTTAAAATATACATTATCCATCATACAAAAGCTCTTGAGTAAATATCTGAGTACGTTATACTTATATAAAGAATTAAGCATCAGTTCTCCAACATTCTAAGTGTAATTTTATGAAAAGTAGTGAAAAAATGGAGCCATACAAATTGCATTAAATCTAAACCTATTTCTGGCGCATGATCGACTGCTAAAACGTAAATGTAATAAGATATGTTAAAAAAAATATGTGGCTCGCTCAGTTTAATAAACATAGGGCGATTAAGTACATATTATTCACTGGTAACATTGAAAATGTCATGTATTTTGCGTGCTATTTTCACAAGCTAATATATTTTAATACACACATCCATAAATTCAGCTGTAAACCAATGAACATGTTTGTACATGCGTTTTCCTGATTTTAAGAAAGAACAAACATTTACCCAGGAAAACGGACAAAAATCACCATCATTATTTCAGAAAAATATTATCAAAATCTCACTTGTATCTGAATGTATGTGGGTAATCTGTGGTTCTCACATAATACAATATAGCTTCTTAGGGCATTCCATTGACAGCGCTAAAATGCAATCTTTTAGTAAAAAAATTAAATATAGTCTGTTTGTAACATTTTTAGTAAACTTCTAATGGCATGGATCAATTTCAGTATTTTATTTGTTGAAATGAGTGGAAAAAGCATGCTTGTTTAATGTACGCTTCGTTGGTGTGTCAACTGTTATTGCTTTTTAAGAGGCAAACAACCACTCCAGGTCACTTTCTTTTTCACTCATCCTGTATAATAGACAAATCTGACAGTCATTGACGTGGATAGTCACTGAGCACGCTGTAGGCCTAAACTCATACAAAGTTCGTGAATTACAACCTAAAGTCAATGTCAGCCATCACCTAGATTAACCAAATGGATCTAATGGTCACAATCGAAGAAATAGCTCATTATGTGTTGTACAGACTTATTTCGTAATACTACAAATTCCGCCAAGTCTCACATAAAACTGAACCCTTCCGATGCCACATTGCATAGTAAGTTCCATAACCAGAAAAAAAATAAACTTCAACTCAATATTCCCAATACGCAGGATTTTATCCTGCCCCATGTAAAATGTATATGAGTGACTACTTTATTTGTTAAGTGTCAAACCTGGCTTTGGCTTTCATTGTTGTGCGTCTTCGAATATGTGGCAACAAAATCCGATGATGCCAAAATCCCTACAGTGCACGGGAGCTCAACAAATTAAGCCAATGTCTGCATCCGATGCCGTGATTTCGAAAAATATTTCAATATTAGTCTGTGTAAAAAATACATTATCCTTTATGAAACAACAGCTCTTCAGTAAATATCTGAGTACGTTATGCTTTCTTCATTTATAAAAAAAAAAATAAGCGTCAATCAGTTCTCCAACTTTCATTTGAATTATTCTAGAAAGGAGCAGGACAATATTATTTCATTGCCTCTAAATCTATTTCTTGACGCATTGCATGAACGGCTAAAACCTAATGTACATCCAGATACAGCTTAACATGAAAAATCAAGAATTTATTTCTTCTTCCAACTCCAGATATCGTGATTCCATCAGGTCAAAGATCATCGATGACCTATTTAACGAGTTCTTGGTACTGTTGTTCACCGGTGGGGGGCGCTTGAGCCTGCGGATACTGCCCCTGCTGGGCTGGGTAGGCTATACATTCAAACAAACAAAAAACAAAGGAAAATGGCCCAATGCAGTTTTAAGGATAAGACAGTGTGTACATTCTCCGTTATGTAACAACAGCTTTTGAGGAAATATCTGAGTACACTTTTCTTCATTCACTGTATGAAATTTAAACGTCTGCAATATCTCTTTATTGACACATAAGGTAGTCAAAATGCTAAGAACTAATGTACATCCACATGCAACTTAACATGAATAAGTCAAGACTTAAATTCTGTTTCAACCCCTAGATATCACGCCTTCAGGTCAAAGTTCATCGATGACCTATTTAATGAGTTTTTGGTACCATTACTCACCGGTTGGGGGCGCTTGAGCTTGCGGATACTGCCCCTGCTGGGCTGGGTAGGCTAAACAAGAACAAGGGAAAATGGGCGACTAAAGAAGGGTGTTATACTTTTTATATACACATACACCAACGGGGGAACACATTATATGAATCAGGAGACTGCATGGGAGAGACCATAAGCCTGGGATTTTCCATCTGATCATTACTATAGCTTAAAATAATATTTTTTTTTAAGACGTCTCTTACCAACTTGTGGCTGACCAGGAATGTTGTAGAAAGCCGGTCCCTGGGGTTGTGTGGCAACCACCAGGTGTGGTTGAGCTTGGTATTGGATCTGTCATTATGAGAACAATTCTACTTTATTTGCATGTTTGTTTTCTCTCAAATACATCATCCTCTAATTAAATACCTACCACCTTGCTATCGTACGTGTAATTGTTCATCCCAAATCTGAATGTGTTTTTCTTTTTACATCGACCTCTCCTCTTGACACCTAAGTGTTACCATAATGTTAACATTTAAAGTGTTCTAATTATTGTGATCTCTGAGCAAATATAGGTCTAAAAGGCATTCGCTTTATTTTCTCGAGTATTTGTTTCCGCGCTGAAACATATAGGCCTATTTATCCTTTCATAATTTCGTCAACTAGCTTCAGTGGTAGTTCAGGGCATGAAACGGACAATAACTACAAGGAGAGTTAAAAAAAAAAAAAAAAAAGAAACCCAAATGGTGGCCCCCTATTAAAAAAAAAAAGTACTGCATGTAGCGCTTGCCAGCTTTTGCCTAGATCATGTACCTTAATGTGATCCGTGGACAAAGTTGAAATGGTGTTTGTATTCAAAATTCCATAACTTGAAAAGTACGAGAGCGATTTGAATGATTCTTTCACTGAAAGAAAGTTTATTAATCGGGCTCTTACATCGTAGATCTGGATAGCGCTACATGTTGAACATCATTTGAAAAAAAATGGGAGCACCATACGGGTTTCCTTTTTTTTTTACTCATCCTGTAGATTGTTTTGTCAGAAGTGCTTGCGAAAGAAAGCCAATCAAAGGATGAAAGGTAGGCCTATATGGCCATATGCGATAATAACTGCCATACTTGTGATACATGCATGCCGCGATACATACGTTAGAAATGAGCCCACTATAGATTATCAGGTGAATTTTAACTGGAGTTTACCTCAAAAGCATGAAATGCTCGGTTCGTACAACACAAGGTCTCAAAAGTCCTTAACAACCTAATCCCAACACACCATGTCCTAAGACAAGTCACAATGAGCTAATTTTCACCCCGTGAAACTGAATTTTACTTGATCTAGATTTAAAAAAAATCAATGCAGATCTACAAAGACATAGCTTTGTGTTGTCACGTACCACAGTCCGAGTTGCTGATCCACCACTGCAGAGGGGACCACAGGTCATGCTGGCACCAACGATGGCGACAACAAACTCCACCAAGGCGAGAAGTATCAGTATAGCATAAACACCATTGATGGCCGCCTGCATAGAATCATTGCAAGAGATATAATGTATCAGTTACCTTCACACTACAAAGGCATCCCACAATTCAACACATATTAAACCTAAATATCTTTGCGGTACGTATGCCTAACGTTCCGTCTTGTAAACGTCTAGGTAGCTTTCAAAATCGTTTAACTTCATCATACACATTGAAACACAAATCGCAGTTTGGAAATACTTCAAATCAAGAAAAGCGGAGACGTGATTCTCATTAATATAGCGCCTCGAAAGTGAAGCAACGACGGCAAATTCGCTGAGAAATAAACAATTGTAACAAATAAATAATAATAATAAGTTGGGAGGCTAATCATCCTTACTCCCAGCTGGTATGCTGAATTGCGAAGGACGCGGCTACAACGTGGTCGGGCCGCTGGCACGTAAAGGCGCCAATGGCTGCCGGCCACATCGACCCATATATGACCACGGAGCACAGCCTGAGATCGAAAGTGTTTGATTTTTCCGGAGGGAGGAAAACCGGAGGGCCCGGAGAAAAACCCTCGTGGCACAGGAGAGAACCAACGCACAACTCTACTCACATGTGATCCACGGCCAGGATTCGAACCGTGGTCACCTTGGTGAGAGGCGAGCGCTTTACGCACAAGCCACCCATGCCACCCATAATAAGACCATTAAAAAAAAGATACACAGCCCTGGAGGCAGAAACACGAAAACCTTTTTCATTGTCAGGGGATTAAAGTTCGACTCACCTGCAAATAACAGAATGAAGGAGGGTGGTCATAGTACGAGACGACCTGGTACCTGTAGCTATAACGATAACGCGTATAAATTGGATGACAGACTTGATTGATGGCTGACATCCTGGCAGCACCGAAACCAATGACGCAGCACGTCGCCAAACAAGCCAAGATGGACATGACCATGTAGCCGACAGCCTGTGCAGAAAAATCACAATTCCTTCGAAATCTTTCTAAAAGATTTTCTGTCCATTGGTGGAATTGGTCCAAGTCCATTAAAGTGGTCATATGTTAATATTCAGGCCTTATATCTGCGAAATATTACAGGACTGTATTCATTTGCTATACTTTTTTCCCATTTTGAAGATTTCCCACTTCAAGGTAGCAACAACTGAACACCATTATACTATAATAGTAAATAATAAATGGAGCATTTATTAAACAAAGATCAAAGCGCTGTACATAACTACAAAACTACAAATCTACAAATAAACAAGGCAAAAACAAAAACAAAACAAAAAAAATTAATGTAAGAATGACTCAAGGGAACCAGGGGATAATGAGAGGTAAAGATGAAGGTGAATTGATTAAAGAAACAGATGTGTTTTGAGCGATTTCGTGAAGGTGATGATTGACAATGCAAGTCGGATGTGTTGAAGGATCTCGTTCCACTCCCTGGGGCCAGCAATCGAGAAAGCTTTGTCACCTGTGGTTTTAGTGTTAATAGGAACATGTAATCGGGAAGTGTCTGTTGAAGACCTAAGCCCCGCCCTACCTGATTGATACAAAGAGAGTAAATCAGTCAGGTAGGAAGGAGCCAGACAGTGTTGTGTTTTGTAAACGTATAGAATTAATTTGAAAGGAATACGTGATTCAATTGGCAGCCAATGTAATTGATGCAGGAGCGGTGAGGCCTCAGTTGAGCGGCTTTCACAGAGAATAAGTCTGGCTGCATAGTTCTGAAGTTTTTGTAACCTGTTTCTGTTTCCTTGACTTATGCCGTATAAAAGAGAATTGCAGTAGTCAAGGCGAGATGTGATTAGCGAACGTACTGCATGGTGACAAGTGTTCTGATCGATGATGAAAGTTGACAGATCTGCATATTGTTGTGACATGTTGTGACATAGACATAGTAAAGTCAAAAACCACACCAAGGTTTTTGATGAAAGGTGAAGGTTTGATAGTGGTAGATCCTACTTGATAGTGGTAGATCCTACTGCCGAGTAAGAAACCCTTGACAATGGCTTACCACTCCGGAATTCTTCTTCCATCCAGACACTATGCCCAAGATTCCAGCGACGACGTAGAACTGTACAAAAAAAGCATTGCTGAGATTTAGGAAGGGCTAGAGGATTCATTTGGCGTCCACACGTGTGCAACAGATGTATACGAATCCAGCCAAAATGTTCATTTGGCAAAATATTGGACACTTTAACTCTCCGATGTAGATACAACGGAAGCAGTGGTGTACGCAGGATTTTTTCAAGGGGGGTGTTTCAAAATTGGATGTCGTCATTTATGACGCTAGAAATGAAGATGGTAAATTGTGTTGGCGCCAGAAATAAAAGATAGTATCAGTGGGCTAAACTTAACGCTAAAATAAAAGTCAGGAGTTTGTGTTGGCGCCAAAAATAAAAGAGGGTATATTTGGACGGGTTAAACTCGAAGGGCCGGGAACCCACGACCATCAGTTATCTTTTTGAGCTAAAGCATAGTAAATCGGGAAAAAAATGTTCTGTGTCTTTAGAGTATATGATGAACATATGAGTAAAGGAGTCAATGTGGGCAGTCCCCTCCCTCGACAGCATTTAAACAAAAACAAAAGAAGAAATTCAAGAAAAAAAGTGACACGGGCTGCGGAAGTGCTAGAATCTGTTCTTGTAATTGGCTAAAATTACTCAGCTTCGTCCCCTGGATATCATGATTCTCATCCGTTGGGAATCTTTGTGTAAACCGCCCCCACCCCTAAGGCCAAACTTCAGATACGGGATACATATGCGCTCTGGTCACAGGAGCGGATTCAGACTGCCATTTGCCGGGGGGCCTAGAATTATTGTAATGAAGGGTCCAGGACCTGCGAAGCCATTACGGCGAGGGGTCCAAGGCCCGCTTAAGGGCCCCGGAAAAATTGGGATTTTAGATGCTCTGTGGTGCAATCTGAGGCGATTCCTGGCCACTTCCACCCTTTAGAAAACGTTTTAAACATCGAAAATTCCATTTAAATTTGTTATTTTTGTTGTTGTTTATAAAGTTTGTTATGTACTCAAAGTTGAGAACCATGTTCATATCCGTATTTTTCACAATTTTCTATTTTGGAAAGGGATTTAGGCCACTTGTAGAGCCGTTCACTGCTGAAGGTACAAAATGGTGGGGGCACCGCTAGGGTGAAATTATAGCATAGAAGGAATTTGGCCGGAGGACCAATGCGAGCGCGGAGCGCGAAGCACTTACGGCCTGGGGTCCGGGGCCCGCTTAAGGGCCCCTGGAAATTTTGGATAGTAGATGCTCTGTGGTGCAATCTGAGGCGTTTCCTGGCCACTTTCCCCTGGTTTTTTTAGCAGAAGTTTTTAAAATTATGAGGGGATATTTTGTTTCATTTGTTTCAAATACATATAGGCCTATATACTCTTGCTCCTATGAAGTGTCTTCTGTATTCAAAGCTTAAAGTTGAGAGCATGCACATAATTTGTAATTGTTCCGCGCTCGGTCACATAACTCTCTTTTCCCTCCATATTTTTTACATGGCAAAGGGGGGTGTTTGACAGCCAAAACACCCCCCCCCCTGCGTACGCGCCTGAACGGAAGTGTCTGTTGTACAACGTAAACGTATCATTGCACACGTACACCGTTACCCCACCGTAAACCTCGTGCATGTAAACAACTTTTCTTCTTTTTTAATGAGAATTATTCCGCAAAATTCATTCCCCGCTCTCCACATATAGTACAGGCATTATGTGAAAAATTAAGGGGTAACCTCAAACAAATTGCAACAGAAACTATTTAAAAAGGTTATTACTCAGAAAAATCTCCTCTATAACATATTAAAAGTCTTAAGAAATCCGAGTGGTGGAAAGAAGTTTTCTAATGTGTTTCTTAACCACACCCAGTACCACTTTTTTTGCTACTTTATAATGGAATATTTAGTGATGCTGCAACAATATATTTAATACTAAACACAGAGAGTTGATCTTAATTTATTATTGAGATGCCCATTGACTTCAGAAAAGATCTGTAGATGATTTATATTCATTTATTTTGCTGTAATATATATATACTATCTGCAATATGATAAACATGATATATATATATGAATCTATATATAACATATAGGTTCAGTCTATTTTGCTAACATTGGTTTCACGCACACGCACACTGCGTGGCGATCATCAGGCAAATTTACTCATTATTCTAGACCTTGGTAAGTTTCAATATCCCTATGTTTCCCAAATTTGCGATATGCCGATAATAATTTGAATAAATGCCATTTATTAATTTGCATAGATTAAAGTTAAAATTATGGCTGTCATGTGTGGACATGTCACAATAAAATTGTCCCTGATAATCCAAGTCCAGTCATGTACATAAATTAATTTCACACCATGGTGCATTGCTATAAGGGTCCTTAAAAAAAGGAAAGCAATCCAAGTGGTGGAAATATGCCTAATTTGCATAAATTCAAAATGGCCACTAATTACATGATTTTTGATTTGGCCATAACTCTTGTCCGGCATTGCTTTTTGGAGTACTTTGATAAACAATTTGTCCTTTGACATTGATTTCATCATCATTCCAGTCCGAGGTACTGAGATCCTATGTTTCATATGGGGTATAATATTTTTTGTTAAGGTTTCTAGCTCTTGTCAAAGTTGGTATAAGTGTTGGAAAATGTGATATCCCTGTGTCGCAGAGCAAACCCTTGCGCCGCTCTACTCGGACCAAAAATCAAGGAATAACTCAAGAGAACAGAGGATTCAACACAGGAGTTACAAATCACAAAAATCAAATTATATATTACGGGAAAGAAATAAACCAAAAAACCGCAAATCTCAATCCGAAAATACGCGGGCGAGGGTTTTATACCCCTCCCGCATGGGCGCAAGCCCGGAATTGGTATGTAACAAAGAAAAAAGGAATTACGTTTTGCATAATTCACCTAGCAGCCACCTCCGAAGTTACATAACACTTTACGGCCGTAAAAAAATTAGTGATTGATGAATTAACTCAGAAAATAAAAGGAATAATGTTAACAGTCTTGTGACACCCTGTACATAAACACATTTCAGGGACAAAAAAAAACCCTACTATAAATCCACTAGTACACTGCATAGGGATATCACATTTTGCAACGCGTATGCCAACTTTGAGATGAGCCAAAAACCGAACAAAACTACCTTTCCCAATTTTTTGATACGTTGTAGCGAACATCTTGGGGTTTAATTTCCATCCAAGTTTGTCTCAATGTCGGGTGATCCACTAGGTCAAATTCAAGGTCAAATTAAAGGTCAAAATGTCATTATACTTAAAATAACCCCGATATGAAAAACAACAATGGTAAATTTGGATTTCTCATGATGTAACCTTTCAAAAGAAATTAAGATTAACACATTTGGCTCACAGATTATAGAAATATGGTCATTTGAAAATGGCAGCAATGTCCATTTTGATCAAAATTGCCTGGGCGGTAGCGCGAAAACTGTTTGTCCGATGGTGCTAAAACTTAAAATTGCGGCTTTTCAGCCGAAATTACCCCATAAACTAAATATGATCCAATTTGAAGAGGTTGGGGTTTCAAATTTAAAAGTTTTGGGGGTGATTCGACACTGAATGGCCCCAATGTCAAATGACAAAATGTTGTTTAAAGTACACCGAAAAGCAACTTAGGACGAGAGTTATTACTAGATAGCATATTATGTCATATTTTTGGCCACTGCATGTTTCTTTGCTAAAGAAGGAATTTTTCTCATAATTATTTGAATAGACTTTACCTTCCTAAGCTGGAAATCCATAGGTAACATTTTTTTTCTATCTACCATGTGGCGGTCATCTTGGAATTCAAAATGGCCGCCATTTCGGGCCTAATTTGTATCTAACTTCGGACCTGATTGTCATATGAAGTTTAGTTTGGTGGCAAACCCCATGTTTTTGATACCAAGGAACCCACGAAAATCATTGTTGATGGGGTATACTCCCAGTGGAGTACCCCATCAACAATGATTAACTTGGGTTCCTTGGTATCAAGAACATGCAGTTTGCCACCAAAATGGACTTCATGCGACATTCAGGTGCCACCTTATTATTTAAATGAAATCAAAGATGGCCGCTATTTTTGAATATCCAATATGGCTGCCATCCATTTGGGATGCCTAAATGTGCTAATTGGATTCCTTGGTATCAAATTTATGGGTTTTGCCACCACCAATAGTGACTTCATACGACATTGAAGTCCAAATTTATTATGCAAATAGTTCAGAATGGCGGCAATTATGAAATATCAAAGATGGCTGCCATCAACTGTAAGTACCCCGTCCACAGTGATTTACTTGAGTTCATTCAAATACATGGACTTCATAGGACATTCAGGTGCAATGTTATTATAAATAAGATCCAAGATGGCGGCTATTTTGAAAAAAAAATCCAAGATGGCTGCCATCCATCTGGGATAGATCATCAGCAATGGGTCATTAAGATTACTTGGTATCAAATGTATGGGGTTTGCCACCGAAATTGACTTCGTACGCCGTTCGAGTCCAAATTTATTATGCAAATAAGCCGAAAATGGCAGCCATATATTTGAAATATCCAAGATGGCTGCCATCCATTTGGAGTACACCATAAACGATAATGTACTCAGGTTCCTTGGTATCAAAAACATGGGCTTTGCCATCAAAATAAATTTCATGTGACAATCAAGTCCAAAGTTATGATACAAATTAGGCTCGAAATGGCGGCCATTTTGAAATCCAAGATGGCCGCCACACGGTAGCTGGGAAAAAATGTCGCCAATGCATTTCCGGCTTAGGGAGGTAAACTCTTTCCAAATATGGCAAAAATTACTTCTTAAACAAAAAAAAAAGCAAAAGTACATAACGGCCTACATACTATTATGGCCGCGCCAAATCATATGAAAATCATGTAATTAGCGGCCTTTTGAATTTATGCAAATTAGGCATATATCCACCACTTGGATTTTTAAACAACTTTTTTAGGGACCTTATAGCAATGCACTGTGGTGTGAAATTTGACTTGGATTATCAGGGAACACTCAATTGGTACATGTCCACACATGGCATCCATTAATTTAACTTTAATTAGGCAATTTGATATACGGCATTTATGCAAATTAAACGGCATTTGGAAAACTTCGGAAACATAGGGATCTTGGAATTTACCTAGGACTTAAATAATGAGTAAATCAATGTAAAAGGACTAAAACTGTTGTTTAAAGTACCTCTAAAATCCAACTAGTATGAGAAATATGACCAAATCAATGCGAAAGTCCTAACATATGCGGCCATTTTGGATTTATGCAAATTAGGCATATTTCCACCACCTCAATTTTTTAAGACTTTTAGTATGTTATTTTAGGGACCTTGTAGAAATGCACTGTGGTGAAAAAAATTCTGTTGCAATTTGTTTGAGGTCAAACCTTATATTGCCTGTACTAATAAGCCTCTGTTTAAAAGTACGATCATAATAGGCATCAAACCTACACAAGAAACAAAGAAACAAACGAATCAGTACTGTCAATAAACAAGGAATAGCATGGAATGAGGGTGAATATTGTACTTACTAATATACCACACCAAATTGGAGATCCGATGTCACTGATATAGTAGAACCGGCCAAATGCAGTCACGGTGGCAATCCCAAAAATGACGGTTAAGGAACCCAAAACCACTTGAATTATTCCTGTCCATAGAATACCCTTCCAGTTACCACTTCGAGGCTGTGGGTTGACCGTGCCGAAAGTAACGCCGGCAGCGGGTTGCACCGTCACCTGGTGAATCAGGTTGAGTGTCAATGGTTTTCGGGGTATGACTCATTGGTCTTGTGTGGGCTCATATACATTTTTCGGTACACTCTTTGAAACTCTCAGGATCACATATGGATGCCTCCACAAGTTCAAAACCAATTGATTCAATGTTTTCTTACCTTTTCATGGGCGAGGCCATAACATTTAAAACGGGGGGGGGGGGGCTTCGCATGCAAAACAAACTGTTCAGATAATTTCAATTTTCTTTTTCGCACTTTGACAACCCAAGTGCAAAATAACGAGAAAAAAAGTTCCAGAATTTTTCCTCATTTGGGTTGGGGCCAACTTTTATAAAAGTGACAGGAAATCCACCTGAAACAGGCAATAGTGAACGGAATGAAGAAAATATTTACATGTCAAATTATAAAGTTTTTGTCCCCCTTTGGGAGCGTGTCACAATTTTCTTCATAAAAAAAATGAATATAATCATAATCTTGAATATGTCCAAAAACCCAGCAATCTAACCGAAAATTTGATTTTTTTTGTTTAAAGACATTATATAACAAAACATATGGAGCTCATTATTATTTGTTAGCAATTTTAGTTGGCATGTCATTGCCTTAGGCGTAAAACAAAAATTTCCAAAAGTGGTATAGGAAGAGAGTATTTCATATAAAAACCCAAATTTATGGGGGTTTTAGGTTTAAAATCAGCGAAATATAAGTTTATAGTACTACATATGTTTATTTGGCAACTGAAATTCACATTCAAATTTGATTGTTACATCAATTTTTTTTTCTTTTTCCTTCTCTCAAGATTTTTTTTAATTCTTACATTTAAGTTAAGTGAAACAAAATTCTATCATTCTCCATTTTCATTAAAAAATATATGCACTAATTCCTCTTCATAGAAACGAAATAAAATTTGAAATGTTGCCGTATAATTTACTGCTTTAGACCGCCAAGTCAAAATTCAGAAGAAAAAATTGACATGAGTATGGAGTAATGGTGCAGTATCTTGTAAATTCATATCCCCTAATCCCCAAATTATGAAAAGTGTCTCCGCCCCCTTAATTAAGAGACAGTTTGTCTAAAATTGTATGACCGATATTAAATTATAAATTCAAATATTTCCCCTGCTGCAAAATGTCTTGATAAGTGCCCCCTTTCCCTTTTTGGTTTATTTCGATACATTTTCCAAACGAACGCCCCGCCCACAAAAAGGTCAGAGAAAAATGTGGCTATTCAAATTGTCAAAGAATATACCCGACATTGCATATGTACGGCGCTCCATGAGTGCCATCCACTTCTTTATTTACTCAGATAATTTATCACGTCATGTTGACATATCACCGAGAGTAAGGCGACTTAATCACATAATTGTATCGCTAAGTCGACTTACCGAAGTCGACTTGACGACTTGTCCAGATGTATTATCTCGCCAAGTCGACTTACCGAAGTCGACTTGATGACTTGTCCAGATGCATTATCTCTCCAAGTCGACTTCCATAAGTCGACATGACGACTTGTCCAGATGTATTATTTCGTCAAGTCGACTTTCCGAAGTCGAGATGACGACTTGTCCAGATGAAATATCTCGCTAAGTCGACTTCCTGATGTCGAGATGACAACTTGTCGAGATAAATTATCTCGCCAAGTCGACTTACGATGTGGAGATGATGACATGCAAAAATCACGTTCTGTATGGATATCCCGTTGTTGAAGCACTGTCGTGGATTCTTTCTTGTTCGTCGGTGCATTTGAGGTTTTCCCCACCCGTTCTTATATGAACAATAAACTGGCAGAAGAACAAGAGATAAACTGTATAGGGTATTGATTTGATCTGGGTCGAAGTTGATTTGTGTTTTTTTATTTTCAACTTGTTCTAAATTACTCCCCCAAGCTTCGTAGGAAATCACACCTCTGCCTTGTTTTCCCCTATTTATCCCGTTGAAAAGTAATTCACTTCACGTTAAACATTAACAATTATAAATTCACAAAAAATGTCTTTTAATTATTGACAGGTTGCCTAAAAATGACACTTACAAATTCAAGATTTGCTTTAAATCATATTGAGTTCATATTTAAGATAAAATGACTCTCACGGCTTAAATTGGAATATCGGAAAATTAGCAAAACTCTTGTCTGATATATTACGAGAAATAAATTATAAAATAATTATACCAACACTGAGGCCAAAAAAAAAAATCGGTCGGTCTCTGGTCAGCGCGCGCGTCGATTTTAATCATGCGCGTCGATCTTTTTTTTTTCCAAAATGTTCCGCGGTAGCTCCAACAGCGCCCTCTATTTCCGCACCTCCTCATTTTTTTTTTTACCAAAGAGCACCAAGGAATGGGAAATTGCACCAAGGCAAATGATCGAAAGCACCAAGGCAAATTGTGGAGGACACCATTGTACATGAGGACACCAAAAAAGGAAAATAGTACCCACCTTGTCTGTACAATCCAAGCTTGAAGAAAAAAAAAAAAGCAAAAAAAAAAAAAAAAAAAGCCGCGTGGCCGCGTCAATTCCGGAACTTTGGTCTGACCAGAGACCGAATATTTTTTTTTTGGCCTAACCTTTCAAATACCCAAAACTATTCAATCATGCGTTGCATATTCGTCATGCTTAACAGCTTCTCCATAGATGATAATACCCAAACGCTTTGCATCAAAGCAACAATACCTTTTCAACTCTAATGACATCATTAATCATCCGCTTGTGCCGCTTCATGTGTGGAAAGGAAATAGACGAGCAGACGTTTTGCATTTTTTATGAACATCAACAAAAGAGACACAACCATTAGTTGCCTTTGTGCGCCGCATTTTGATCAAATTTTCAGTCTCAGTGTCGTCGGGTATTAGTTTCTAGGAATGCTATTTAATAATTAAGAAATATCAAGTCCGTTTGCGAAAATAATTTACACGTTTCAAAATGTACCACAAACGTATTGACACTCAACTTTCCTTTAGTTCTAATTTTACATGTCTTTGTGTGTGTTTACTCGACTAAACCACAGATGTCCCCGGTACGATGCCCCATGAGTTTGTAAGCTGGATAAACACAGTCTACAAAGCAATAAATTACGTCGAATTTTTTGGTTTGTTGTTTTATATTTTGCTAACATCATAATGATGTAAATAATAGTTGATGACTTATTTTCAGGTAAAATTAAATGTTCTTGTGGCAATAAAAATAAGACAAGTCCAGCCCAGCCAAGCTTTTCCCAAATCACAGAAAAAAAATTAAATTCAACTGGTTCCGAATGGCTATTCGATTGAGGCCTTTGCATGCACAATAGCCCATTCGTGTGACGTTACGGGGTAATCCTGTACAATAGTACTGCCCGGCGCCCTACTCCGACACCCCGAGAAATTATACTGGTATTATACGCCTTTCCCCAAAATACGGACATAACCTGCTGGGTTAGGGGGTATTTGTACATCCCGTAACATATTGTTAATAATCGTCGGATTTAAACAGCGACCGCTTTGAAAGTATGGTACGAGCCACCCCCCCCCCCCCCCTATTGATTTTAAGGAGCCAAGTGTTAGGACAAAAAAACCCTGTCTACATTTCAGCATTGATTTGCTGATGAACCCCCCCCCCCACAAAAATTCCTGGTTCTGCCCCCGATTGTTGTTGTGCATATATGGCAATTATTATCGTCTACAAGGTGATTCAAAATGCAGTCAAATTTGATACACAAATTTGATACAATGAAGTATGTCTAATAAGAGCATGTTCTTCCACTCATCTGAAAAAAGCAATCACTGACATTGATCTATGCCAACAGAAATTATGCATGTTTTATTTAAAGAAACCATTTTATTTTATAGCTGTCCTTGGAGTGCCATTGAGCGTAGTGATAATACACACAAGCATTCATTTAAATGAGATATTAATAATTGAAATCAAGACCATTGTTTTTACTGTCAGTTGTAATGGTTTGCATATGAGGAACAAGTCAACTCTTTTTCTTCTAAAATGTTGTTAGCGATATAAAAATCCTTTGCAAGTTGTCGTTCATTCATCGAGGTGGGAAAACGTCCATGTTTCATAATACTCATTGTGTATTAACCAGTTCGTAGAATTATCAGAGGTGGACAGCCGAGCTTTTGTGATCTTTTTATTCAAATAGACATAACGTGAGATTTGAAGGTTTGCATGGTGGAAAGATACTAAGACAAGAAAAGTTTGCGGTAGCACCATGTGAATAACATTCTCCTGAAGACGGGCAGAGCATACTGTTCGAAACGTTGAGTCCCTCGGTTCTTTTCAGAACACAAAAGAGATTTATTCACATGGTGCTACCGCAAACTTATCTTGTTTTAGACATAACGCGGGAATAAAGTATGCAAATGACGTGAAATGTTCACAGTTAAAAGTCAATAAGATGTACTTTATCATTTTTTCATAATGAAATTGATCAAGCCGAATATTTTTAAATATTTTCAAATTCAGTCATTTTCTTTTTTGACTCCCCCGCAAGGAGAAGCCGGTAGAAAGCCTTGTGAATCGGTATCGGCTGAGCACCGCATGCATGGTTGTATACACGGTAGCCTCATCAGTAACCTGTACTCTGAAACCGATCACTCGCATGGCGGTTTGCATCATGTACTATTAGCCAATATGTTCGGCTTTTCCAAAAAGAGAGATTGACAACAACATTTCAAAGGGAAACGTTCCTTTTGCGCAACTCACAGGCAGATGTGATAAAAGTATAATATTGTCGAATTAGCCGGTTATGCTGTAAAATATGACCTGCGTTTGCATGATGATAAAGAAGGAAGGATATTAAAAAACATGCTGATTATATTTACAGTGATAATTCTTTTTCATTTCTTGAAAAAAAGGTCAAACATACCGGTACTATCAGTGGCGTAACTGGGTTGTGCCCCCCCCCCCCACCACAACGAATGTCCGTGCCATACCCCCCCCCCCCCCCCCGCCCGGCGCTCCCCGTTTAAAATCTTGAAATGAACAAAAATTTGTCATTTGCCTTCAGTGCCCGATTAAAAATTATGTGCACCCGTGTGCCCCCCCCCCCCACCCCCCACCGGAATTAGGTTAAGCCTCACCCCACTGACTGTTAATACCTATGAACAAAAAAGTACTCTCTTTTAACGTCTTCCACCTGGTGTCTTTCGTCAAGGAGGAAAGTATCATTAACTTGTTAAGAGGGAAATTGTTTAGGTTCTTGGGAATTTGAATTACATGTTTGACAAAATTTCATTCTTCCCGAGGCATTTTCTCAGCCTTAACGATTTAGGTCGATTTGTGATCTAAAATCGCTTGTAATTTCATACTCCATGACATCAGGATAACGTCACAGTAATATTGAGGCCGATGTCTCATTCAAAAGTGAACAACTTCTATATTGCTAGGAACAGAACTTTATCATAATGTGATGATCACAGTGTGATTTTAGTGTGCTAAGGCTAATCATAAGCTAAAGTCCTTTATAAAACATTGATTTAGTGTTGACAATAAGAGTTTTTATAGTGATATCTTTATCAAATCATTTCTCGTAATATGTCAGACAAGAGTTTTGCTAAATTTCCGATATTCCAATTTAAGCCATGAGAGTCGTTTTATCTTCAATGTGATCCCAATATGATTAAAAGCAAACCTTGAATTTGTTAGTGTCATTTAAGAAAGCAACAACTTTTATGCAACCTGTCAATAAAGACATTTTTGGGAATTTATGATTGTTAATGTTTAACGTGAAGTGAATAACTTTTCAACGGGATAAATAGGGGAAAACAAGGCAGAGGTGTGATTTCCTACGAAGCTTGGGGGAGTAATTTGAAACAAGATGAAAATAAAAAAAGCACAAATCAACTTCGACCCAGATCAAATCAATATACCCTACAGTTTATCTCTTGTTCCTCTGCCAGTTTATTGTTCATATAAGAACGGGTGGGGAAAACCTCAAATGCACCGACGAACAAGAAAGAATCCACGACAGTGCTTCAAAAACGGGATATCCATGCAGAACGAGATTTTTGCATGTCATCATCTCCACATCGTAAGTCGATGTTTTTATCTCGACAAGTTGTCATCTCGACTTCAGGAAGTCGACTTAGTGAGATATTTCATCTGGACAAGTCGTCATCTCGACTTCGAGAAGTCAACTTGGCGAGATAATACATCTGGACAAGTCGTCATCTCGACTTCGGAAAGTCGACTTGACGAAATAATACATCTGGACAAGTCGTCATGTCGACTTATGGAAGTCGACTTGGAGAGATAATGCATCTGGACAAGTCATCAAGTCGACTTCGGTAAGTCGACTTGGCGAGATAATACATCTGGCCAAGTCGTCAAGTCGACTTCGGTAAGTCGACTGGGCGATACAATTATGTGATTAAGTCGCCTTACTCTCGGTGATATTTCAACATGACGTGATAAATTATCTGAGTAAATAAAGAAGTGGATGGCACTCATGGAGCGCCGTACATATGGGAGATGATTTTTTTAAAATGTTTTAACCATAAGTCAACTGACCAATTTGGGGTTTGTTAAGAGGAGTGATTATTGTGAATAAAAAAAACACGTGATATTTTGTATAACAAATATTTCGTGTAGGTACAATGCAACCCTAACAAATAAAAACAACAGTGAACTAAGTCAATGTGTTCATTGATACACTCGCGCAACACGACACACACCATGTCCTTGAGGTAGATATATTGTTCTAATGCCAAAATTAGCACATGAAAAGGGTCCGTGTACGTACATGACATTGCAAACACAATAAGTGGACTGTATAATTGTGCGCGTGTACTCATGTACGAAGACCAGCGGCGTGTACAGGTTGCCTGTACTGAATGGTACAAAGCAGGCAATATGGCGACGGCATAGCGAATACCGCATATATAACATAAAAGCACCATCAATGTCATTCATATAACTATCTTAAAATAAGTGATGGCTTATAGTAATTCACATAATACTGATATACACACAGTGCACAATATTGGGGCCCTATTTGATTTTCCTTTACACCATAATTATTCTGAACTGTTACATTCCGGGAGAGTTGACTGGCTTACCAGTTGTTGCTGGCCGACAGGCTGAGGCGCAGCCACGTAGGTAGGTGGGGCGTTAGTAGTGGCCATCACTGTGACAGAAAGTATCTCTGGATTCTCTGTAATTCAATCAATCAATTAATCAATCAGTTAATTGTCTGTCGGTCTGGTTCATCTATGTTTGCTCGCATTTCAAAGATGACATCTGTGGCAGCTATACATTTCATAAACAAATTATGTATTTATGTTCTCCAATCAAATTATATAATTTTGTATCTATCAATTCAAGTACACACAGTTTGTTCCTTTGATATTTAATAATACAAGGCTAATTCAGATTGAAAGAGTATTACCAAAGGTGAAAAAGGTACTCCGAAAAAACATATTGATGAAGAAGCAACAAAAAATATCCAAGAACATTGGCATAATACCAATTCAAAATAGTACCTCCAGAGTACAATTTTATTTTGTTCGTTTTACGATATTTAAATTACTTCATCTTGAATCGGGCAGTGAATACATTTACGAGACGTTTCTCTAATGTAACACATTACTTACTTTACCTAAACGAGCGGTTCGTGTCATTTCGAATTCTGGCTATCGTGATCACTGTGCTCCAATGTTTGCTAAATTAAAGTCTATGACATTATAATGACTAATAGCACTTCTGATCACGGGAATAACTCATGTATATATTCATGCATAAATTACTCCCTCCCTGTATTAATTCTTGTTTGACGTGAAAAAAAACCACATAAATTTCATGTATAGGCTGTAATACTGGAAGTAGCGCTATGGAAAATGCGTTGGTCCAATTTAACAGAACATGTTCAATGGCTAAATAGTGTTGTTCGTCGGGCATCTTTTACACTGGAATAATTTAGATGATTCTCTTAAATCATTGCCATATCTACCTGTCTTTGTAAAAAATGTCTCGTCTCACACGTACTTGTCTGTCTTATCTTGTGTTTTGTTTGTCCTATATGTCCATTTCACAGTATCTTGTAACCAGTGGCGTCGCCAAGGGGGGGGGGGGGAAAGGGGGGGCACGTGCCCCCCTGGAAAACCTAGTGCCCCCCCCCCCAGTGCCCCCCCCCCCCCATCAAATGCTGGTATCCTCTGCAAAATTCTGCGCGTTGTTAAAATCATTACCTCAAAAATAGCAATTTCTGGAGATATCTTCAGATCGAATTTAGCATCAAATGTGGCACCATTTTGCATCTAGCCCATCCTCCGTATGCGAAAATTGTCCAAAGGGGAGGGCCCCTCCCCCAGGACGGCGATCCATATCCACCTAAGTGCCCCCCCCCCCCATCAAATGCTGGTGCCCCCCCCCTGTGCCCCCCCCCCCCCCCCCAGACTGAAAAGTCTGGTGACGCCACTGCTTGTAACCTATATGTGTCTCAGTTTCTATAGGTTAGTTTGCATGGTTTATTACAACATAACAGAAATGCTTGCTGCTTTGCCCCGCCTCAGCGCCCTGTGCAGGACATCCACTAGATGGAATTTGCACTTGTACATGCAGTACCTTACAGTCACAAAGCCTTTCGGTTAAACCTTATACCTCAATGTAATTTCATTTGCTGCTATATTGTTAAATCGCTGTGTACACAGTGTCTATCAAATACCATATCATTGTGTTCCTTATGTACTTCTACGTGATCGTACAAATTGTAATGAGTGCCAACATTGAATGTTACGGAAAGAAAACCAGTCGTTTTACCTTGCGCTGGAGTGTTCCTGTTTTCTCTACCGTCGTCACTGCCTGGCACGGCGTACTGTACACAGCGCATATCGACTGGGTTTCTCTGGCAATAATTATAATTGCGCGCCGTTACGTCATATTCCAAATATAGCATTTGCTCTAATATTGGCTGGAGTAGCCTCCCATTATCATCCATCCCAGGGTCCGTATAGCTCCCAGCGCCATAGCGCTGGTATGGTACGGCCGAGTGATACAGAAAGGCCTTGGTTGCCACAAATGTCTTTGAGCTCTCATTGGATTCATACTGTAAAACAAGTAACCTAAAGTCAGCACTTTACCAACGCACCACCAATATCAATGCGCACGAAATGCACGGACTGTATAATACAAGTCACCTACCTGCAAGGTTCTGTTTTGTTCCGTGTAATTCTTTTATATATGCAGGAACAGCTCACAACTCCTGTTGGGTTGTGATGCACTAAATAGAATGACCAGGCATCCATACATTTTTTTTAAAGTGATGCTTAATTTGTTTATACAATATATAAAGGTATATTGTTGGTTCCTCAAATCAATATTAACTGAAATGGCCGAAAGTAATTCGGATCGTTGAAAAAGCATCCGAATCATGGAAAGCATCTTCATTTTAGCACGGTAAACGTATCCTGTAGTCCGTCCGTCTATCTCCTCTGAAACCAATCTAAATAGGCCTAACAAGCTTTGTCTTATTGATTGACCGTTTTAGAAGTTCTGTCTCCGAGTTTATTGCATGGGGGTGATAATAAGCATTTTGTTTTTGCTTGGCACAAACAATGTGGCCCATCCCCCGTCCAAAAAGTGGATTATTCTGGTCCATAATCCGCTTTACCTCGGAACACACTATCATTCGCTCATGGACACATTAGCAAAACCAAAGTGAGTAGACATGTGTACAAATAATAGACATATGAGATTAGTCATTGACATCGATACTTTGCTGGCACGATCTGAACTGGTATTGAAAGAAAAGTGATTCGAATTATACCCTAAAGCACAAACTATTCGAAAACATTAACAATGTTAAATTTAAGTGAAGTGTTGCAGAATTGATGGTAAGTTTTGTCTTTTCTATAACGTAGATCGATCGTTATGCAAAGGGCGCCCGCCCTGCTTAAGTCAGTATTATAGGAGAGGGGTCAACCAGATATATCAGCTTAATCTGCAACCAAATTTTCGCAGAGAGGGGATGGAATCTCACAGAGTTTTGTTGGAAAACCAGTCCTACGGAAGCCGCCCATGGATCTTATGGGGGTCAAATTCAAGGAAGCCGCTCATTCAAAGCACGGTATAGAGTATCAGTTTTTATTTAATGCTATATTCCAAATTCTGGCAAGTCATACATAAAGTTAAACCCCTCCAATACCATAATAAGATCTTTTTCACTGCCAATCTCAAACAACATCGACTAGTACCAAAATGCTTCCTAAAATATGTTTCCGGTACTCATATTCGAGGGCAATACTAGTGGCCTAGGCAAGCGGGGGGGGGGGGGGGGGGGGGTAATGAGGGTTATTTACCCCCCCCCAAAAAAAAATATTTTGTAAAGAGTTCCGTTTTTTTTACAAGCGCTCTTTCTTAACAAGCCCCCGTTTTTTTGCCGCCATGAAAAGCGGCACCAATTGTCCGATATTGCCCATGATCAGCCGGTTTGAACAGCGCCCCCATCAGAAGATGATATCCAATCACCCCACCACTTTCCCACGAAAACTGGGATCTGAACGTCCATGGACAGCCGAGTTTTGTGATCTTTTTATTGAAATACATGTAGATACAACGCCGGTCATAGAGCAAGAAAATTACGCGAAATTGTTCACAGTTAAAAGTCAATAAGATGTACTTTATCCCTATTTCTTTTATCAAAATGGAGCCACATAATTTTAAGAATTCGGTTAATTTCTTTTCAATCCATCCTGTATTGCGGCTCGGTGGCTTCCATCTCATGAACTGCTCGAGTTGTTGGAAAGCTGATGTGTGGAACCGGATTTGTCGAAAGAAAGTTGTCAATGGAAGTCATCGCACTCTTTTCCTCTTCAGTGAGTTTATCTGCTATTGCATTTGGACCTTCTCCGTCTGGAGTTGCTCAATAACAGTTTCAACTCCGTTCCAACATCCAGCCTCCCACTCAATTTTGACGTTTGCGGTCTCCATTTTTATGCTGACATACAAATACAAATTGAGACCGCAAATGCGGTCACACTTTTGGCACATTTTGCAACATTTATTTTTAACGTGAACGTTATGCTACGTTGGTAAATATTTTCATAAGGATAATGTAATATTAAAATATAAATAAATTAAATAAATTAAATATAAAAAAAGACTGCACAGAACACGTGAGGGTTTTGTGGATCCAATAGTAAAGTCGAGTGTTGTGTTCACAGTCTATTTACACAGCGCCCGCTGGAGTCGAAAAGATTGGGCTGCGCCATGTTGGAATTGTGTGAATAAAGTGTTTACTCTCTTGAATCTGCATTGCTCTTTCTCTCAGTACTGAATTTGTAACCCATTTATACAGTTTGGACAAACTAGCATCAAGGCAGGACGAAAACTCTTCAGAACTACTAAAACGGTTCAAGAACAAAAACGCAAATTCAAGACATTTGAATTTCTTTATTGACCTCAATTGAGGACTGCGGCGATCAGAATCAAAACATTCTTTATATTTTAGACCTATAACATAAAGGTCTGCATAACGAAATTTGCGATAGAAAAGGAAATATGGAATAATAAAAACGCACGTGATGTCATGATTTTACAGTTTTACAACCCTTTCCCTGAAATATGGTTTCGTAAGACTAAAGGAGTTAATGATACCAAAGGCATCACAAAAATGAAATCAATGCAACTTATATTTTAGCAGCATAACCCAAGCAAAACATAAATGAAGGTTTTGCCCCGTACGAATGTTCTGTATAACTATCATTACTGCATTCCTTCTTTTGGCTCCTTCGTACAAGCGGGCACTGCTCGTTTTTTTTTCTTCAGTGTTTTTCCATGAAACAAAATCTCACCAAAAATAAATTGAACACTTCCGTTGCCACATTGCAATAAGTGCCATATCCAGACCGTGAACAATTCAACATCAACTCAATATTCCACATATGACCGATTTAATCATTCCTGTATAATGTATCAGGCTATAATTCCTTTCTTTTGAATGTGCAGTCAAAAAATATCAGATCGAGCCTCCTGAGTCTAGTATTTAGGAGCTCAAAAGATGAAGCCAATGCATCAGCCGATGCCATGATTTCGGGAAAGGCACAATATTAGTGTATTTAACATAACATTATCCATCATACCATAGTTCTTGAGTAAATATCTGAGTACGTTATATTTACATAAAAAAAATAAGAATCAGTTCTCCAACATTCTAAGTTTAATTTTATGAAAAGTAGTGGAAAATGGAGCCATACAAATTGCATTTACTCTAAACCTATTTCTTGACGCATGACTGCTAAAACCTAAATGTAATAAGAAAGCATATTTAAAAAACAATATGTGGCTCACTCAGTTTAATAAACATAGGGCGATTAAGTACATATTATTCACTAGTAAAATTGAAAATTTCATGCATTTTGCAAACTATGTTCACAAGTTAATATAATTTAATACACACATCACAAAATTCAGTTGTCCACCAATGAACATGTATGTACATGCGTTTTCCTGCTTTTTAAGAATGCACGAAAATTTGCCAAGGAAAACCGACAAAAATCACCATCATTATTTCAGAAAAATATTATCAAAATCTCACTTGTATCTGAATGCATGTGTGTAATATGTGGTGCTCACATAACACTAAATAGCTCCTTAGGGCATTCAATGGACAGCGCTAAAAATATAATCTTTTAGTAAAAAATTAAAATATAATCTGTTTGTAAAAGTTTTACTATACTTCTCATGGCATAGATCAATTTCAGTTTTTTTATATTAAAATGAGTGGAAAAGGCATGCTTGTTTATGATTTCACTTTGTTGGTCTGTCAACTTTTATTGCTTTTTAAAAGGCAAATAATTTCTCCAGGTGACTTTCTTTTTCACTCATCCTGTATAATTGACAAATCTGAGAGTCACTGACGTGGATAGTCACTGAGCACGCTGTGGGCCTAAACTCACACAAAGTTCGAAAATTACAACCTAAACTCAATGTCAGCCCTCACCTAGATTAACCATTGGATCTAATGGTCACATTCAAAGACGTAGCTCATAAATTGTTCTACAGACTAAAGTACCAGTCTCACATAAAATTTAACCCTTCCGATGCCACATTGCAATAAGTCACTTAACCCAAAACAAATAAACTTCAACTCAATATTCCCAACACGCCCAAATCTACCATTATTCTGTAAACTATATAAGGGTGATTCCTTTATTGGTTAAGTGTCAAACCTGGCTTTCGCTTTCATTATTGGTCGCCTTTTGAATATGCGGCCAAAAAATATCTAATCATGACAAAATCCAATGTGTTTGGGAGCTCGGAACATTAAGCAAATGTCTACATGCAGCCGATGCCGTGCTTTCGGGAATGGCACATTATTGAAGGAAAAGTTCTTCAGTAAATATCCGAGTGCGTACGCGTTTCTTCATTTTTGAAAATGAAACATCAGTTTTCCAACTTTCATTTGCTGTAAATTATTCTAAAATGGAGCAGGACAACATAACTGCATTGCCTCTTAACCTATTCCTTGACGCATTACATGTAGGCCTAATGTGAAAGCCTAATGTACATCTACATACGGCTAAACATGAAAAATATCAAGAATTGAATTATTCTTCAAGCCCAAGATATCTTAATTCCATCAGGTCAAAGGTCATCGATGACCTATCTAGTGAGTTCCTGGCACTGCTGCTCGCTTGGGGGTGCTTGAGTCTGCGGGTACAGCCCCTGCTGGGCTGGGTGAGCAGTACATTAAAACAAAAACCAAGGGGAAATGGGCTGATGAAGTTTTAAGGAGCAAGTGTAGTTAATATATAAAATCTCCGTAATGTGACAGCAGCTTTTGAGGAACTATCTGAGTACATTTTTCTCCATTTTCTTTTTAAATTTACAC